AGTGTCATACCAATCCTCACTGGTGTCCCAGACCTGCCAAATGATTCAGGTAGGGTTCTCACTTGTTCAAAAGGCGAGATTGAAACAACATAGTCGGGAAAGTTTCAAGTTCTTCTCTTCTCATAAAATCAGCTGAAGTTTGTGTATTCACAAAATACAACAATAAACTAGACGCACCTTAGAGGAGCAGAAAGGGCATGACTCATTTTGCAAAAAGGGGCGCTTATTATGCAAGTTGACTAACCTGAGGGGCAAGGAGAAAGGAAGCATTATCATAAGAATATGAAATCATCAATATTAATTGAATGAAACTCATGTTTGGACAGCATTGCTAAATGACATGCGACCAAAGACATGTTGCATACGAACCATAGCTGATAATAGGGGCAGGTTGTGCGAGAAACTGAGAAAAGAAGCACAATTTAGGAGAGTGCCTACCAAACGCATTCCAAAGGTGTGGCTTACTATGGATCACTGGGCTGAGCGAGGAGTGGAGGAGAGAGAAGTCGTACACATAGTGCCTCTTGTAAAATCCAGATGGCAGCCAGCCTATTGCCTTGAAGACCCATTGGTTCAGGTGACCCGAGACCCGTAGGTCACAAGCCCACCCCCGACCTGACACCACCCAGGGCGGCTTAAGGGCATGATATTTGACTGACTGACTGTTTGGCTGCTGCACAAGCCTTGCTTGCCATCTCCATACCCCAATCCTCTCGCACCTCTCCCTCCCTTGCCATTACCTGCCAGTCAGCCCATCCTTGTAAGTAGCCTATAGACCATGATCGCCGCACTGCTTACCTTCTTTGCTGTACCTAGCAGAGTATCCATTGAAGAGGACCGTTGAAAGCAGCGAGCACTTGAAGTAGGAGCGTTAACACGAGACACGAGTGGAAGAGAAGGCCTTACACAAGGTTATCACGATCAGTGTCAACATGAAGCCCTTGTTGAAGTTGCATATGTTCAGCTCTATCCAGTCCGTCTCGGTGACACAAACACCCAATGCTTAGGGCCAAGCTGTCAAAAGAGACGGTACCATAACGCCCATGCGAGCGCGTGTGCGGCTTATCGCTGTCACGCTCCTCCTCGTCGTTTGCAACTCACCACCCCCTTATCACGCCCGGGCACCAGTGGATAAGCTGTGCAAGGGCTCGAAAGTCGACGCCATTCATGATCCCCTTCAACATGTGCTGACATGCCTCATTCACGCTCGAATTCATAAACAATTTTGTTCTCAAGGATTTCGGAGAATCTTTCCCGGCAGTGCAACTGCCATAGGGACTCCTTAGCCATGCAATTAAAAGAGCTCGAGACGCACGCCATCCGCGCTAAGACGCAAAACCCCGCTGGCTCGGCGCGGCGAAGAATGGCGTAGAGGAGGTCGGCTGAAAGAGACTCCATTGCGGATGAGAGCTAGCGACACCGTAGCGATGGGGAAAGGATAGCCGCGACGAACGCAGGGGAAATAAACACGGAAATGGCGAATTCAAGGCTGATGGCTGTGATTCTGCGTTCGTATGGAAGGTGAATTGCTGGAGGGAAGCGGTGCAAGGGGTGTAGCAGAGTGAGCAGGAGGCCGTGGAAGCGACGATAAGGTGACTGCGGTTTAACGGATCCTACAGCCAGCCTGGGGACGTTGGCAAATGCATCGTGCCTAACCGCGCTGATGTGGCTCGGGACTTCCCAGAGGCGACGATGGAATGACAATGTGCTGGCAGCTTCTAGGGCCATAGAGAGTTGCGAGACGGTGAACCTAACCTCGATCTTGTTCCCGTTATGGGTGTGTGGTGTGGTGTAGTGTGGTGGAATGACGATCATGGTAAGTAGGCCTTGGGAATATCTTTGGGGTTAAGGTTAAGGTTATATAAGGTCGTAACCATGTACAGCAAAGCATAGAGAAACTAGAAATATGGTCTACACAACCAGCGGCCCAAAGGCGCACGTAGGAAACACATTATTTTTATATCCCGCGGATAACCACCAGCACGGCTGGGGAGCTCTCTATGCTGAAAAAAGGAAGGATTAGGGGGGGCGGAAGGAGTCCCCTAGCAACCAGGAGGCTCGGAGGTCCGGGTGAATAGAAGGGGTTCCGTCATGGTCGAAAACAAGGAAGCGAAATCGAGTGGCTAGCTTGATGTGAGCAGCTGAGTGTCGTTGTTTTTTTGTTGATTGTTTCTTGCTACGCCATAGGAGGATTTTGAAAGCGATGAGGAATTGTGCCAAGATGAGCTGGAGAATCTCAAACCGGGAGGAGGGTGAATCTTGAAACTTGTGTTCACAGCGCGCATTCCATTTAGCTTTTGCAGATGCTCCAACCAGAAGGCTCCAGGGGGGCACCTGTCCAGCTCTGGAGGCGAGCGGAAAGAGCAAGAGCTCAGGAGGAGGAGAACAGTGAAGGTGGCGACGAGCGACAAAGGAGAGAGCGGAAATCACTGCGGGGGCCACCCCACACTTGTAGAAGATGTGAGAGATAGTCTCTGTAGGTGCTTCAGTGCAAAGTGAACAGATCCCTTGGTCCATGGCAAAATTGAAACGCGAGCCCGAAGGGAGAGCGCGAATGTAGAATCGGTACAAGACGTCGCGCTGGAGACTGGGTTGCTCGCGTAAAAACTCATGGGAGAAGTCAGGGACGAGAGGAGGAGGAGCTGGGAGGATGTGAGTCCAACGGGCGGCGTGGTCAAGGGGAAGCTTTGTGTAGAGGCGGCGACGAATCTCGACTACACTGGGGCATCCGTCCTGTAAGATGTCGAGCCGTGCGCCGAGCCCTGCACCTGTATAGTAGGGGCCTGCAAGCCAGGACCCGACGACATGCACCGCGTAGAGGTCACCTATGTTGAATGTGCCGTCTCCGATTGACGCGCGGATGATGAGGCGGTTGGGAAGGACATGGTGGAGGGGGGCTGAAAGCGACGACGGAGGGGAAAAAGAGGTGACCTGGAGAGCAAGAGTGGGGGAGGACTCTGAGTCGTCTTTGGGGGCGAACCACTCCCCGCAAGCTGCCAAGGGGGGAGGGGGGAGCGAAGGGCTGACCACCAGGGTGTGGGGATGGCACGAACGAGGTCTCTCCAGACTCTATGTCCGGAGGAGTTGGCCACGGGGAATGTTGAGGTGAAATGTTTAAAGGAGACCACGCCAAGGGAGTGAAAGATAAGTGAGATCAAGTGACCAACACGAATCTGCATGGATAGGAGGAAGCGTTCACGCGTAAGAATTCCGAATGGCTTCCCATTCGGTTTGAGTATGAATCGGTTGAAGGCGGTGGGCTCAGCCATAATACACATAGGGACGAGGCGAGGCGGGGAAATAACCGGGGAGATTTCTATCAATCTGTGTAGTTCGACAAGCGCTCGACTCGGAGTTACCTCTGGAAGGATGCCTGATTGGAGAATGGAAGGGTGTGCTAAGAGACAGTGTGTGCCAAAAGGGAGGCAAACGGCGACTCTCGCCACCTCTTCTGATGGTGAGGCGCCGAAACGGCGAAGTGCGCGGTGGCTGGCAAGAGCGCGGATTTGGGTGGAAGGGGCGATCGCCCCGAGACCTCCATGGCGGGTGGAGTTATACAGGAGACGATTAGGGGATGAGGCGGACCGCAAGGTCGTGTTCCTTGAATCGAGAGGAGGAGAGGAAGTTCCCAACCAAAACGTCGAGGCGTTTGATAATGTTGGGGGAGGGGGGTTGAAAACGGCCGGGGAAGGAGAGAATGGAGTTTAAGAAAACCGACGCAAGTGATTTGCGGCAGGAAGCAGTGGCACGGAGGGCGGCAAGGAATTTAGCCGTGCGCTGAACGCGAGAGAGTGTCGTAGACCAGGTGGTGGCGCCTGGTTGTGCCCGTTCTACATAGATGCCAAGAATACGGCTTGCCTCTTGAGGAGTGCGAATGGGGATGGGGCCAGCAAGGAGGATGAGTTCTGGTGCAATGTAAAATGGGATAATTGAGCATTTATTCCAGTTGGGGTGCTCTCCAGAGACGGCGGCAAAGGTTCGGAGATGTATAAGGGTGGTCCCAAGCTCTCTGTACAGAAGAGAGGAAGATGGTGACATCGTCAGCATAGCAAGCCATCAGACGGCGTTGGGTCGTGGAGAGGGGGAACCCTGGGAGGAAAAGGGAGAGGTAGCGTTGAAGGATTTCGATGACACACACAAAAAGGAGGGGGGCCAGAGGGCAACCTTGTCGAACCCCTGTTCAAACGGGGAAGGTGGGCCCAGCGAGGTTGTTAACAGAGATGCTGGTGGAGGTATTGGTGTGCATAAGGCGGACCGAGGCGATGAACTGCTCAGGAAGTCCAAGCGTAGTGAGTGCCCGGAAAAGGAAGGCACGGTCGACCAGATCGTAGGCTTTGCAAAAGTCAACAGTTAAGGCAAGCAGGGGGGTCTTAGTGATTGTGCTCCAGTCAAAGATGTCGAGTGTATCGTTGATCATATCGCCTATTTTCCTATTCTTGGGAATATCTTTGGGGACTGGCGGCAACTGGGAACTACGAGTGAGCATGGAGCAGATCCAGTTCCGAGAGGACAAGCGCGACAGAAAGAACCCCAGCCCAAGGCATCCACTCTACTGCCGAACTTCATATACTGCTTGAAGCGAACCTTCAGTTCAGTAAACGCAGTCACCTAATGTTACAGGAAGCAATGTTTTTCTTCAACAATGACCACTACATGGTTCAACAGCTTACTGCATGTTTAGCATATTGCAGTTTGTTTTTGTAGCTAACTATGAAATAACCTTACTTCGGGGCTCAAAAATAACAAAATATGTGTTCTTGAAGTTCACATGTTAACCACATGGATTAACAAAACGTAAGGGTGGTGAAGTGAATCAAATGGTTTTAAAGCCCATTGCTCATCATTGGCTGGGCGGGTCGAAAGTGTTGGGGTCAACCCAGTGCTTCTATCTTTTCCAGCTTCAAGAGAGCCACATCCAATCCAACCAACCGCAGCTAATCCATGGGTGGATCCTAAGAAGAGAGCGCACGCTGGGAGTGGAAGTTCTAGGAGTGGGAGGCTTATGGGGAGTGGGAGGCGACCGAGTGGTAGAGCAGGCTGGCACCGAAGCCAGTGCCTCTGCCCTTCTTCTCACTCCACACCGGCCCTGCAATGTCCAAATGCGCCCATGGCAGCCCCTCCGCCACAAACTGGCACCCACGAACGGGGCAGAAAATAGAGGGGCAGGAGACGAGAGAAGAGGCAGGAGGCAGAGTAAGTTCTCCTCGCATCGCAATCCACACAAATCCGCCACAAACTGGTGCCAGGGAGTTGTGGCAGGGAATGTTGGCAGGCAGGGAATGGTGGCAGGGAATGGTCACCTAAACAGGAAACAGAGAGGCAGAAGACAGGAGGAAGTGGTGGTAGGGAATGGTGGCAGGGAATGGTGGCAGGGATGGTGGCAGGGAATGGTGGCAGGGAATGGTGGCAGGGAATGGTGGCAGGGATGGTGGCAGGGAATGGTGGCATGGAATGGTGGTAAGGAATGGTGGCAGGGATGGTGGCAGGGAATGGTGGCAGGGATGGTGGCAGGGAATGGTGGCAGGGAACAGAGGTCGGGGATGAGAGGGAGAGAGCAAATAAGACGTTTTGAACAATTCACACAGATCCTGGTGTTTTTAGGCTTTTCAAAGGGAGGGAGGAAGAGGAGGGAAGCTAATGGAACAATGACTACCAAGAAGAAAATCTGGTCAGCAAAGCATGAAGGAGAGGCAGAAAACAAACACGCACTCTCTCTCCCTCTTGCTTGTTGCCCGTGAAAGCCTAAACACACACACACACCCACGCACGCACGCACGCACGCACACACACACACACGCATGCACGTACACACGCACACCCGCCCTGAGGCTCACCTGCACGCCCTGAGGCTGGATGGCAGCGATGGCCTTGGCGGCGCCCAGCACAGCAGCAGCGCCGCCCATCTCAAACTTCATGAGGTGAATCATTGACCCCGGCCCCGCCTTGAGGCTGTACCCGCCACTGGTGGGTGCGATAAGTGGGGAAGCAGAGGGAGTGAAGCAGAGGGGGTGAAGCAGAGCCAAGGGAGACGATTGGAGGTATGAGAGAATGTCAAACTCCATGAGGTGAATCGTTGAGTTTTGAGGTTTTAGCCACCACTGGTTCAAAGGGAAGGGAAGGAGTGGGTGAATGGAAGGGAAGGAGTGGGTGAATGGAAGGGAAATGATTGGAGGGATGAGATAACGAACTTCATGAGGTGAATCGTTGAGCCCGGGCCTGCCTTCAGGTTGTACCCGCCACTGCTTCCAGGGAGGGGATGGGTGGGGATGGGTAGGAAGATATTTATGAGGTGAAATGCGTAGCCATTGCCTGTGTAGCTGAGTAGAGGGGTGCGAGGGAGGGGGAGGCGAGGGGAGGGGTGGCATGAAACACAAGGGGCAGGGTGACGATGAATGGGGGAGGGGATGCGAGGAGAGGCGATTTAGTAAGGGAATAAGCAACTGCTGATGAGAGCAACACCCTTGAAGCTAATCATTTTCATGGGGCATGTAGCGTGACGTGGGTGCACGCACACAGCTTCGCGCGTACAATGGGAGCCATGAGCAGGCATGAGCAGCCCCATGCACACCTGCCAGAATTGAGCCCCTTGCCGATCAGGGCCAGCTTCCTCAGCAGCTTCTCCTCCATCCCTTCACCAGCAACACTATCCGCACCATCCTTGGCAGCAGCAAGCGGTGTGTAGGTGCTACCTTACCATTACTAGAAACAGATATGAAGCACGCATTTCGGCAACGCCACTCAGGTTGATATGACACGTTTTTTTACGTGGCTCAAAAGTCGTTCAACCAACAACAGTTCAAGTAGCACTAAACTTGACATGAAGCACTCTTAAGACCAAGGACTCCATACAATCATACTCCTCTCTTTCTAACCAAACCACCTATTTTATCATTCCTCTTCTAAATCCTTGCCATCTCCTCTCACCTTCCCATCCTTGCCTTCCTCCTGCTCCTCATCTCCACTTCACTCCACCACCCCCCCTTCTTCCCCACTCCACAGCCCTTCACTCCCCTCCCCTTCGCTTCCCACTCCCCTCTCCCCTTCACTCCCCTCCCTTTCGCTCCCCTCTCCCTCCTCCCCTTCACTCCCCCCGTCTTCCTCCCCTATCTCCTCCACCCCCTCATTTTCCTGCTCGGAGCCACCCACCACACGCTCTCCCTCGTCTAGGTTCGCTCAACCGTATATCACCATCATATGCCGTGCCGAGAGGTGCGGGCACTGAGTGACAACGCACTTCTGCAGCTTTGCCATCTGCTGCAGACCCGTGGGTAGCAGGGCCAGTTGCTCGCACTTGTGCAGGCTCAACTCCTCCAGAGAAGAGAGCTTGCAGCAGTCAATTGGAAGGCACGAAATTCCGATTCTGGAGAAAGAGCACACCTTCAGTCTGCGCAGATTAGGGAAGGACTCACATCGCGGAAAAGTCGAACGCAAAATTTTGGCTCCCGTAGGTATTTCTATGAAAAAGCTCACAGAATGTCCCCGAACTCACACAAAACATCCCAGAGAAAATGTGATAATAATGTCACATTTCCATAGCACAGATCTGCGATAGAAAAGTCACGCGACAGTTACATCCCAGTGACGCGAAGGTGTTAGCCGCAAACACGTTCGGGTGGGCTGGTTGGACCCGAGATTATGAGTGGTTCAGAGCGATTGTTGGCGATTCAATATTATCTTGCTGACCGAGCTCACCAAACCAAGTTAAAGAGAATGTTCCACGAAACTGACAAATCCACACGACAACTAGCGATGAGGGGAAAAACGAGGCAACACATGTCGTCGATATCGTGAAAAACATAAACCGAATCTTTCCGCTCAAGTACAGTGTCAAATGTACACGTAAGCTTGGTAAGTGACGAAAGCAAAGCAGTCACAGCTACGCCTAGGCCAATAGATCACCCCAACCTAATATCAGAACGTGCCACATCTCACCTGCGGTAACGACCTATACCTTCGAACCGAATTAGCCGAGCCTAGCGAATCGTCCCAACCAATCGTTGCAGCGCACAAAAACAGAATCAACACTCACAGCCTCCATTTATCCACACATCAGCACACCGAACCTCAAACCACTCGACCCTCCCCCCACCTCCCCTCCCCCCTTCAAACCCTATGCCTTGCCATACAAATGCCCTCTGCTACCACATCGTTGTCAAACTTTACGACAGTTTGTACCGTAGGGGCTCCTCAATTATTCTCCTCACTAAGCTCAGGACGCAGTCTCCCCAGCTCTAGGCATCTTCACGCGCTCTATGTCTAGAAGTTCCGCCATTGTTTATATTTTTTAGGCAACCCCTCCAGCTAGCAATTTTCGAGGCTACCGTGCACTCCTGGTTCCTACATGCCGGTCCCTAATAATATAGCATTTCATCATTTTGTAGCGATTGCACATCTCACTCTGAATCTACCCCCCTTATCTTCCGCCCCGCCCTCACCACCTCCCACCCAGGTTGTTAATCTCTGCAACTCGGTGACCAACCTCTGCACGACCAGCGTAAATAATCCACCGCCCGGTCAGTCGGCTCCGCTCGTTTCCCCCCTTTTTCTAATATCATTTTCATTTGCTACGTTGTGATAGCTAATATGTATTAGTTAGCTCGCTCGTCTTCTCTCGCTGTTGTTTTCCCCTGGGCTCGGTTCTCCCTCTTCCCCATGTTTGTCCATTTCTCTCTAAGTGGCAGTGCACAACTGTCCATTTCTCTTCTCTATTTCGTGAGGCAAAAAAGTCATATCATAGTGACGTGAAAATCACATTGACGTGACTCTCCACTTTGTATTTTCCGCGATGCCGTCCCATTTTCGCCTAACCTCTCCGCTACCCTCGTTTCTTTCTCCGCCCCCTAGTGATCTTTCTTCTCTGCGCGCAGAAATGGCGCAAGCGCACAGACGATGACCTGCTGATGCGCGGCGCGATGCCGGAAGGAATCGCGCAAGTCGTCTACACAAGGTGAGCGGTGCCGCGATATTACCACCACTCGCGGAAAAGCAATCCATCCCTATTTTCACATCAGCCTCGTTCTCGATTGTTCCCACCCTTGTTTTTTCCCCTCGTTCGCCTCACCCATCTCTCCCTTCTCCACCCAATTCTCTGTCTTTCCTCTCGCTTCTGCCCTTGGCAGTATCATCAGGCCCGGCACCGTCGGCTGGCAAACCTTGGTGGTTTCGCCGTCGACCTAACCGTGGGCAACGCTGCGCAGCTATGCTTCCTTTCCCACTGTTCACGTGCTGCAGCCAATCTGGATTGCGTATCTCCCTGGGCCTGAGTATCAGTACTTATGGAGCTGTCACACCGTCGCCCGTTTTATTCTTCGTGCTGTTCACGTTCTGCTTTTTTCCTCTCTCTCTCTCTCTCTCTCCCAAGTGTCACGATCTATTTCATTGCATGTTCCATAATGTTCTGCATTTTTTATGCAGGCAATGAAATGGTTTCATGATTTAGTTTGCTGGCTGCATCATGTTCCGTCCAATTATCTCTGATCGGGGTAGTTCCTAACTAGGCTTTAATTAGGAGATGGTTAGCTGTGTGTCCGTGTGGACGTGCGGTTGTGCGGACGTGCTGTTGTGTTGCTTTGGCGATGTATGTACTGTACATTTATAATGACGCATTTTGAAATACACCGATGGAGGTTGGTTGTGCTGTTTCGACGTGCGCTGTGCGATGGTGTGTTTAGTGTGCAACGTGCGGTCGCTATTCAGAATCGTTAGCCAATGAAATTACGTTTAGACACACCTAGAACTCCCATTTGATTTGTCGATTTCGACCAATCACCAACATGAAACCCTGGCAAAATATCTGGAAAGATGAAACGCGGTTTAGCCACGTGGCATGGGAACAAAAAATGTGACGAGAAGTGACGACAACATCATTTCACCGGTCACATTTCAGTGACTTTCTGTATGAAATTTCGGGACTCCAACGTGACATTTCCGTGACTTGAGTTTTTGGTACTTCTGACCATGACTTTTCCGTCACGCAGAAAAGTCACGGAAAAGTTACATTTCTGTGACTTTGGGCCCTTTGCATTTCCACAATGCAGGAAGCCTGGTAAGGCCTGGACTGTCATGTATTTTCATATACTAAAGCAACTTTAGCTGCCCGAACGACTCGAGCAGCTCAGTCAGGCTCAAGAGATTGTCGAGTTGGAGGGTTGTGAGTGCTGACAGCCTGCCTAGTGTTTTCGGCAGAGCCAGCAGGCTTTTGGCATGGCTGACCGTGAGTGACTGCAAGCGAGAGAGGTGAGAGATGGAATCTGGGAGCGAGCTGAGCTGATGCAATTCCAAGATTTCCAGCTTTGTTAGTGATGAAAACAAGCCCATGGATGGACTGAGCAGCTGGAATGGAAGGGCCGCAAGCTTAAAGACCTCAAGAGACGGAAAGAACACAGACTCGCCAGTCTCCTTGGATCTCCCGCAGCTGAAACTATTGTGTGCTTCTCCCCCCAATCTGAGGAGGGTGCTTCTCTCCTCAAGGACATCCCCGGCGGCTCCCAGGAGTTCATTCCCAAACAGCGACTGCAGCGCGCTGCAGAAACTCACTTTCAGAGATTTCAGCCGCTGCAGTTGACACAGCGAGCGAGGGAGAGACTTCAGGTCGGGTAGGTCTGAGAGCCTCAGCTTCTCGAGCGCTCCCAGCCGTCCGATCTCCTCTAGTAGCGCCGTGATTTGCTTGCAGCTGAGCAGCACGAGTTTGGTGAGGTTGCGGGCGGTGGTGGGGAGGGAGGCGGGTAGGGCGGTCAGGTGCGGCAAGGAGGAGAGAGAGAGCTTCTTGAGGCCTGTCGAGCGAGCTAAACCGCCTGGCAGGGTGCCGTGTAAGCTGGTCGCACGACGGATTTTTAGGGTTTCTAAGGAGGAAAGGCTGGAGAAGGACGGAGGGAGGCAAATGAGAGCCTTGCATTCAAGCAATTTCAGTCCGCGCAGGCTGCGCAGTCCATCCCCCATGCCATGCGGTAGCTCTGTCAGGTTGCAACAGTAAAAGATTTCCAGCAGCTCGAGGGAAGACATGCGGCTGATGGAATCTGGAAGCTGCGCCAGCTGGATACATTTGGCTATTTTCAGCTCCTTGAGGCTCGTCAGGTTGCCCAGCGATGCAGGCAGGTTGCTGAGCTGCGAAAGCTTACTCAGGCTCAGGGTCTCTAAGGCAGTCATTTGCCCGAGATCCTCAGGCAGGGAATGTGGGGCGGAAGTATTCTCAAGCGCGAGGTGTTTGAGAGCGGTGGCAAGGTATACGGAGGGAGGCAGGTGGAAGAGATCGCCAACGTCCAGGCTGAGCGTGCGCAGGCATGGCAGTCGACCCACGCCGTGAGGCAGACGGTCGAGCGTCAGGTCGAGCAATATGAGGTCCGTGAGGGACCGCAGATGCGAGAGGGAGTCAGGGAGGGAGATTATATCGTGGCAGCCGATCACGGACAGGAGCCGCAAATGCTGCAGGTTTCCAAGACTCGCGGGCAGATTTGTGATCCCCCCCACCTCCTCTAGCCGTAGGGTTTCAAGCAGTGGCAGGTCTCCGAAAGTCTCGGGCAGCGGTGAAAGGTATTCGCAGCATCGAATTTCGAAAGGTCAGCAGTGACGAAAGGTCGGAGATGGATTCAGGCAGACGAAGACTTCCGGAGCCGCCGATGGAAAGATGCATCAAGTCAGTAAGCTGTCCGAAAGAATCGGGTATGGAGCTGAGCCGCATGCGACCATTGAGATGGAGCGATTTCAGCAGCCTCAAATTGCCGAAATGCTGAGGCAGCTCACCCAGGCCGTACATTTCAATCTCGAGATGCTCGAGTGACTATAAGGAGGTGAACGCGTCTGGGAGGCGAGAGCCGCCGTTGATGTGCAGGCTCTCGAGTGAAACTAGGTCGGCGATTGATGGAGGAATTGCGGTTACTAACTGCAGGCAATAAGGCTGAAGGCGCTCCAGCCGAGTGCATTTCTCAAGAAGATAAGACAGTCCGCTCTCCGTGAAGCCCCCGCGTCTGTACTGTCGCTCCATCAAATCGACGTGGAGGTCCGTCAGATCTGGACACATGTCGGCTATCCGCGAGAAGAGGGAGTCAGGGACGGACGTGAGGCTGCCGACGGCGAGGACGAGCTTTCGCAGCCTTGGGAATGACGAGAGGTGCGCGAGCTCGTGCGGACGCATGCGACGCCTTTCGCGAATCTGGATTTTCTCGTGCAAGAGACGGGCGGCGCGATACCATTTCTTGCACACAAGTGCATGCTGGAACTGGCCGTCGGATCGACAGACGAGATGAAGGATAGTGGTGAGAAGATCGTCTGACAGCCGTTCGATGAACGACATGGCAGGCAGTCTATGAAAAGAGTGTATGGAAGTGTTTGATAGACTAGAGAGCTCGACGTGAGAATGGTCAGAACAACACGGAGGCTTGCTCGATTCAAATAGCAGGAAAATGCCACCTGTTTCATCCCGCGACCGCGACCCCCGATTCCTTCGGGAGGGTTTCTTTCTGTTCGTCACGCACCCATCATAAGGATCATAAAGTTTGGCTAGGGGAGTGAGCTCTGGTCTGACTGTGATGGCATCAACGAAGCAGTCTGGTACAACTAACCACCGCTATTTTCAAGGGGAAACCCAACCCACTAATCTCGCGTTTCAAAGTTACCCTGCACGTTTTCGACTATTTCAGTTCGACACTTAGATGACTGGGGCTATGAATGACGCCTAATGCTCAAAGTTTAAACTCATTATGCGAATCTGAATCCATAGCGCCACTTCTACAGTACTCTCTTCGGGGATCTGGAACAGACTCTCTCAAAAATTAAATGATGCCCCACACAACCCTCGGTCAAAGATTTAGAAAGGGTGCATACCCCACTTGTGCAAGTGGGGTTGAAAATAGACCGAAAGAAAATAGCGGTGGTTAGGTGTACCTGAAGTTGATGTCCTTCCTAGCATCGCCCCTCAAACATCGAGGGATG